TTTTATACAAGGCCCCCCCCCCCCCGGCCATGGCTCTGCCAGGCCTAAGTGCTACTGTAAGGAGAGAGGCAAGAAGCATAAGACGGCAGGACCAACTCACACTTCCTCTGCCGCTCTTCAACAGCCCCATAGCCAGGGATGCAATGACCACCCCGAACCCCTCACGCCAACCCCAAAGCTTGGCAGTATGCCACATAATGTTGCTGTGTAGTACTAGTTGCCACTGCCACCTCCACCAAAGGCCACATCTTTCCAAAGTAGCTGTTTCCAATTACTCTTCTAAGAAAGGCTGAGACATCATTCTCAATAAAACTCATTATAACTCTTCCCTAACGTAGTCAAGGCATGAAGGAAACAGTTACAGATTTTTCCACTCTCCTCTCCTAACTCTCTGCTTCCCGGCTTGGTTAGGTGACACAGGAGGCTATAGAAAGGAGCCCAGCTGTCCACAGCAGGGAAGGGTAACATCTCATTACCATGAATCTATTGTCAGCATCAGTTGGAAGGAAGTGAATGACACAGCATTTTTGTAATGGAAAAAAACCTTCACAAGAAGTCAAAAGTCCTGGCTCTGTCACAAATAAGTTGCGTGTGAACTTTGCCAAGATGCTTTGCCTCTCTGAGCCTCAATTTCTTCATTTGAAGAGACTGAACAAAATCTCTAAGGTCCCTTCTAAGAGTCTATGTGTGTCAAGTCATGGAAAAATAGGACCTGATGCCCAAGGCCTATTAAAAATATCTCCCCCAAGTGACTGCTCATGGATACAAGGGGTTTTTTTGGAGGATGGAGAAAGGAATGATAAAAATATTCTAAAATTACATTATGGTGATGGTTGCACAACTCTGTAAATATACTAGAAACCACTAAATTGTACACTTTAAATGGGTGAATTTTCAAAAATTGTGGTAAAATACACGTAACATAAAAATTTACCATCTTAACCTTTTTCAGGTATACAGTTCAGTGGCATTAGGTACATTCACATTGCTGTGCAGACATTACCACCATCCATGCACAGAGCTCTTTTCATCTTGCAAAACTGAAACTCTGTACCCACTAAACAATAACTTCCCTTCCCTTCCTTCCCAGACCCTACCAATCACGATTCTACTTTCCGTGTGTACGATTTTTGACTACTGTACTCTAGATACCTCATGTGAGCAGAATCATGCAGTATTTGTCATTTTGTGACTGGCTGTTTCATTTAGCATCATGTTTTCAAGGTTCATTCGCGTTGTTGCAAATGACAGGATTTTCCTTCTTTTTAAAAGTTGAAGACTATTCCACTGTGTATATATAACCACATTTTCTTTATCTATTCCTCTGTTGATGGACACTTAGGTTGATTCCATATCTTGGTGGATGATGGTTACCAGAGGTTGGGGGGTGGGGGGAGGAGGGAGGGAACAGGGATCTGTTGGTTAAAGGGTACAAAATAAATGTATACAATTATGATTTATCAATTAAAAATAACATTAATTTTAAAAATAACTGGAAGTTATTTAAAAAGACGGATGCCTGAGTCCAACCCCAGACTAACTAGATCAGACTCTCCAAGGCAGGGCCTGACACTGGTATTTTCTAAAGCTCCCCAGTAATTCAAATGTGCAGCCGCTGTTGAGAAACACTGTATAAGCTAAATTCCCTCAGTCCAGCTCCCTTCTTTTCCCCAGTCAAGTTTCTTTTATCATAAAAGTGACAACCTGAAGGTACTGTAACTTGTAAAGGTGACCTGTGGCCACAGTCTTAGCGGTTTAAGGAATAATCATATCACTGCTCTCTCCTCCCCCGACCCCACTCTATTCATTTAGTAACTAAGACATTAACCTCTCCCTGATGCAGCTCCAATCTTTTTCTTCCAAGACGTCTCCCCTTTGTTTAGAGTCTACAGGCAGACAGGAAATGTGAAAATTAAAGTATCATGTGATGAGCCGATGAATGCTGCCATAGGATTAAGCACCGGGCACTTCGGAAGTACATGGGAAATGAAGCAAACCCAGCCTTGAGGTATGTGCAGTTTAACCAGGTGAAGTCCAGGTGAACAGGTGGGGTGGTCAGAAAAGGAACACACGGGCCAAGGCCAGAGGCAGAGGGGTGCAGGGAGGGGAAGTGGCTGTTTGGGAGTTGGGACAAGATTGGGTCAGAAAAGCTCAGGAGA